GGCACCCACGGACCCACCTTCACCCACCCCGAGGGGACCCTCCCCCTCCCCGACCCCCACGGGCCTTCACCCACCAGGTTCTGGGCACCACCAGGATGGACCCACCAGGGTCTTGACCCACTTTGGTGGCCTCCACCCAACCCTTGACCCACCTTGGTCTTGGGACCACTCAGGCCTTGACCAACCAGGTTCTTGACCCACCTTGGCCTCCACCCAACCCTTGACCCACCTTGGTCTTGGGACCACTCAGGCCTTGACCAACCAGGTTCTTGACCCACCTTGGCCTCCACCCAACCCTTGACCCACCTTGGTCTTGGGACCACTCAGGCCTTGACCAACCAGGTTCTTGACCCACCTTGGCCTCCACCCAACCCTTGACCCACCTTGGTCTTGGGACCACTCAGGCCTTGACCAACCAGGTTCTTGACCCACCTTGGCCTCCACCCAACCCTTGACCCACCTTGGTCTTGGGACCACTCAGGCCTTGACCAACCAGGTTCTTGACCCACCTTGGCCTCCACCCAACTCTTGACCCATCTTGGTCTTGACCCACCAGGTTCTTGACCCACCTTGGTGGCCTCCACCCAGTCCTTGACCCACCTTGGCCTTGGGCCCACACAGGACTTGACCCATCAGCTCCTTGACCCCCCTTGGTGTTGACCCACCTTGGTGGCTTCCACCCAACGCTTGACTCACCTTGGCCTTGGGGCCACCCAGGAGTTGACCCACCTTGGTCTTGACCCTCCAGGTTCTCGACCCACCTTGGCCTCCACCCAACCCTTGACCCATCTTGGTCTTGACCCATCCAGTCCTTGACCCACCTCAGTTCTTGACCCACCTTGGTGGTCTCCACCCAACCCTTGACCCACCTCGGCCTTGGGACCACTCAGGGCTTGACCCTCCAGGTTCTCGACCCACCTTCATCTTGACCCACCTTGGCCTCCACCCAACCCTTGACCCACCTTGGTCTTGACCCGCCAGGTTCTTGATCCACCTTGGTGGCCTCCACCCAACCCTTGACTCACCTTGGTCTTGACCCACCATTTTCTTGACCCACCTTGATCTTGACCCACCTTGGCCTCCACCTAACCCTTGATCCATCTTGGTCTCAACCCACCTTGGTGGCCTCCACCCAACGCTTGACTCACCTTGGCCTTGGGGCCACCCAGGAGTTGACTCACCTTGGTCTTGACCCACCTTGATCTTGACCCACCTTGGTGGCCTCCACCCAACTCTGAACCCACCTAGGTCTTGACCCACCAGGTTCTTGACCCACCTTGATCTTGACCCACCTTGGCCTCCACCCAACCCTTGACCCACCTTGGTGGCTTCAACACAAACCTTGACCCATCTTGGTCTTGATCCACCTTGGTCTTGACCCACGTTGGTGGCCTCCACCCAACCCTTGACCCATCTTGGTCTTGACCTACCATTTTCTTGACCCACCTTGGTGGCCTCCACCCAGTCCTTGACCCACCTTGGCCTTGGGGCCACTCAGGCCTTGACCCACCTCGGTTCTTGACCCACCTTGGCCTCCACCCAGCTCTTGACCCACCTTGGTCTTGACCCACCAGGTTCTTGACCCACCTTGGTGGCCTCCACCCAATCCTTGACCCATCTTGGTCTTGACCCACGAAGTTCTTGACCCACCTTGGCCTCCACCCAACACTTGACCCACATTGGTCTTCACCCACCCCCCCAACCCTTGACCCGCCTCAGTCTTGGGACCACCCAGGCCTTGACCCACCAGGTTCTTGACCCACCTTGGTGGCCTCCACCCAACACTTGACTCACCTTGGCCTTGGGGCCACCCAGGAGTTGACCCACCTTGGTCTTGACCCACCAGGTTCTTGAGCCACCTTGATCTTGACCCACCTTGGCTTCCACCCAACCCTTGACCCACCTTGGTGTCTTCCACCAAGTCCTTGCCCCACCTTGGCCTTGCCCCATTGTCCCCCCTGCCCCCCTCCCTCCCCCCAGGGAGAGTTGGGGGGCACATAATTTTGGGGGTCCTACCTCAGCAACATCTGGCAGGCCCTGCAGGAGGTGGTGTCCTCAAAGGAGAACATCTGGAAGTCATGACCATCGGCCAGAGCGTTCTCGGGGAAGATGTTGGACCTGGCACGAAACGGGGTGGGGGGGGAGGGGACACATCTGGGATGTGGGGCAGGTCCCTCCACCCCCCAACCCCCCCCCCAAAGCCCTGGGTGTGGGGTGGGGCACCTACAGGGCCATCTCGAACTGCTCCAACCACTTCTTCTTCAGCTCCCGGGTCTTGAAGAAGAGCTCGTAGCCCTGGAGGCCGGCGGTGGCGATGAGGAGGAAGGTGTGGGTCCACTGTGGGGCACACGCGGGTGGGGCTCAGGGTGGGGGACGTCCAAAGCCACCGGGGACCACACTTGTGGGGCCCACCAGGCTTCAGAGTGTCCACCGAGGAGATGGTGGCTTGGGGCCACCAAGGATGTGGATGTTGGGGTCCACCAACCGTGGAAACGTGGGGCCACCAAGGCCACCACGCACTTGGGACCACCAGACCTGGATGTTGGGGGCCACCAAGGATGTGGCCACCTTGGCCCACAAGGTCCCCATGCTGGGGACCACCAAAAACATGGATACTTGGGCCCACCAGGCCTGGATGTTGGGGGTCACCAAGGATGTGGCCACCTGGACCCACCAGACCTAGATGTTTGGGGCCACCAAGGCCACCACGTACCTGGGGCCACCAGGCTTGGATGTTGGGGGTCACCAAGGAGGTGACCACCTTGGCCCACCAGGCCTGGATGCTTGGGACCACCAAAAATGTGACCACCTGGGCCCACCAGGCCTGGATGTTGGGGGTCACCAAGGATGTGGCCACCTGGGCTCACCAGACCTGGATGTTTGGGGCCACCAAGGCCACCACGCACTTGGGACCACCAGACCTGGATGTTGGGGGCCACCAAGGAGGTGACCACCTGGGCCCACAAGGCCTGGATGTTTGGGGCCACCAAGGCCACCACGCACTTGGGACCACCAGACCTGGACGTTGGGGGTCACCAAGGAGGTGACCACCTTGGCCCACAAGGTCCCCACGTTGGGGACCACCAAAAACGTGGCCACCTGGGCCCACAAGGCCTGGATGTTGGGGGCCACCAAGGACGTGGCCACCTGGGCCCACCAGACCTGGACTTTTGGGACCACCAAGGCCACCACGCACTTGGGGCCACCAGGCCTGGATGTTGGGGGCCACCAATGAGGTGACCACCTGGGCCCACAAGGCCTGGATGTTGGGGGCCACCAAGGATGTGGCCACTTGGGGCCACCAGGCCTGGATGTTGGGGGCCACCAATGAGGTGGCCACCTGGGCCTACAAGGTCCCCACGCTGGGGACCACCAAAAACGTGGCCACCTGGGCCCACCAGACCTGGATGTTTGGGGCCACCAAGGCCACCACGCACTTGGGACCACCAGACCTGGATGTTGGGGGCCACCAAGGAGGTGACCACCTAGGCCCACAAGGTCCCCACGCTGGGGACCACCAAAAACATGGATACTTGGGCCCACCAGGCCTGGATGTTGGGGGTCACCAAGGCCACCACGTACCTGGGGCCACCAGGCTTGGATGTTGGGGGTCACCAAGGAGGTGACCACCTTGGCCCACCAGGCCTGGATGCTTGGGGCCACCAAGGACGTGGCCACCTGGGCCACCAGACCTGGATGTTTGGGGCCACCAAGGAGGTGACCACCTTGGCCCACAAGGCCTGGACGCTGGGGACCACCAAGGATGTGGCCACTTGGGGCCACCAGGCCTGGATGTTTGGGGCCACCAAGGCCACCACGTACCTGGGGCCACCAGGCTTGGATGTTGGGGGTCACCAAGGAGGTGACCACCTTGGCCCACCAGGCCTGGATGCTTGGGGCCACCAAGGACGTGGCCACCTGGGCCCCCAGACCTGGATGTTTGGGGCCACCAAGGAGGTGACCACCTTGGCCCACAAGGCCTGGACGCTGGGGACCACCAAGGATGTGGCCACTTGGGGCCACCAGGCCTGGATGTTTGGGGCCACCAAGGCCACCACGTACCTGGGGCCACCAGGCTTGGATGTTGGGGGTCACCAAGGAGGTGACCACCTTGGCCCACCAGGCCTGGATGCTTGGGGCCACCAAGGACGTGGCCACCTGGGCCCACCAGACCTGGATGTTGGGGGCCACCAATGAGGTGACCACCTGGGCCCACAAGGCCTGGATGTTGGGGGCCACCAATGAGGTGGCCACCTGGGCCTACAAGGTCCCCACGCTGGGGACCACCAAAAACGTGGCCACCTGGGCCCACCAGACCTGGATGTTTGGGGCCACCAAGGACGTGACCACCTTGGCCCACAAGGCCTGGACGCTGGGGACCACCAAGGATGTGGCCACTTGGGGCCACCAGGCCTGGATGTTTGGGGCCACCAAGGCCACCACGTACCTGGGGCCACCAGGCTTGGATGTTGGGGGTCACCAAGGAGGTGACCACCTTGGCCCACCAGGCCTGGATGCTTGGGGCCACCAAGGACGTGGCCACCTGGGCCCACCAGACCTGGATGTTGGGGGCCACCAATGAGGTGACCACCTGGGCCCACAAGGCCTGGATGTTGGGGGCCACCAATGAGGTGGCCACCTGGGCCTACAAGGTCCCCACGCTGGGGACCACCAAAAACGTGGCCACCTGGGCCCACCAGACCTGGATGTTTGGGGCCACCAAGGACGTGGCCACCTGGGCCCACCAGGCCTGGATGTTTGGGGCCACCAAGGCCACCACGTACCTGGGGCCACCAGGCTTGGATGTTGGGGGTCACCAAGGAGGTGACCACCTTGGCCCACCAGGCCTGGATGCTTGGGGCCACCAAGGACGTGGCCACCTGGGCCACCAGACCTGGATGTTTGGGGCCACCAAGGAGGTGACCACCTTGGCCCACAAGGCCTGGACGCTGGGGACCACCAAGGATGTGGCCACTTGGGCCCACCAGGCCTGGATGTTTGGGGCCACCAAGGCCACCACGTACCTGGGGCCACCAGGCTTGGATGTTGGGGGTCACCAAGGAGGTGACCACCTTGGCCCACCAGGCCTGGATGCTTGGGGCCACCAAGGACGTGGCCACCTGGGCCACCAGACCTGGATGTTTGGGGCCACCAAGGAGGTGACCACCTTGGCCCACAAGGCCTGGACGCTGGGGACCACCAAGGATGTGGCCACCTGGGCCCACCAGGCCTGGATGTTTGGGGCCACCAAGGCCACCACGTACCTGGGGCCACCAGGCTTGGATGTTGGGGGTCACCAAGGAGGTGACCACCTTGGCCCACCAGGCCTGGATGCTTGGGGCCACCAAGGACGTGGCCACCTGGGCCCACCAGACCTGGACTTTTGGGACCACCAAGGCCACCACGCACTTGGGGCCACCAGGCCTGGATGTTGGGGGCCACCAATGAGGTGACCACCTGGGCCCACAAGGCCTGGATGTTGGGGGCCACCAAGGATGTGGCCACTTGGGGCCACCAGGCCTGGATGTTGGGGGCCACCAATGAGGTGGCCACCTGGGCCTACAAGGTCCCCACGCTGGGGACCACCAAAAACGTGGCCACCTGGGCCCACCAGACCTGGATGTTTGGGGCCACCAAGGACGTGGCCACCTGGGCCCACCAGGCCTGGATGTTTGGGGCCACCAAGGCCACCACGCACTTGGGGCCACCAGGCCTGGATGTTTGGGGCCACCAGGCCTGGATGTTTGGGGCCACCAAGGAGGTGACCACCTGGGCCCACAAGGTTCCCATGTTGGGGGCCACCAAAAACGTGGCCACCTGGGCCCACCAGACCTGGATGTTTGGGGCCACCAAGGCCACCACGCACTTGGGGCCACCAGACCTGGATGTTGGTGGTCACCAAGGACGTGGCCACCTGGGCCCACCAGACCTAGATGTTTGAGGCCACCAAGGAGGTGGCCACCTGGGCCTACAAGGTCCCCACACTGGGGACCACCAAAAACGTGGACACTTGGGCCCACCAGACCTGGATGTTTGAGGCCACCAAGGACGTGGCCACCTGGGCCCACCAGACCTGGACTTTTGGGACCACCAAGGCCACCACGCACTTGGGGCCACCAGGCCTGGATGTTTGGGCCACCAAGGAGGTGACCACCTGGGCCCACAAGGTCCCCACGTTGGGGACCACCAAAAATGTGGCCACCTGGGCCCACCAGACCTGGACCTCTAGGACCACCAAGGACGTGGCCACCTGGACCCACCAGGCCTAGGTGTTGAGGACCACCAAGGATGTGGCCACTTAGGCCCACCAGACGTGGCCATTTGGGACCACCAAGGCCTGGACCTTTGGGACCACCAAGAACCTGGCCATTGGGAGCCTCCAAGGACGTGGCCACCTGGGCCCACCAGACCTGGATGTTGGGGACCACCAAGGCCACCACACACTTAGGTCTACCAGGGACGTGGCCACCTGGACCCACCAGACCTGGACCACCAGGTAGTTTGGGACCACCAGGGCCATGGCCACCTGGGCCCACCAGACCTGGATGTTGGGGACCACCAAGACCTGGACCTCCAGGACCACCAAGGACGTGGCCGTTGGGGCCCATCAAGGACGTGGCCACCTGGACCCACCAGACCTGGATGTTGGGGACCACCAAGGCCACCACGCACTTGGAGCCACCAGAGACATGACCACCTGGGCCCACCAGAAGTGGACCTTTGGGTCCATCAGGGATGTGGCCACCTGGGCCCACCAGACCTGGACCTCTAGGACCACCAAGGACCTGGCCGTTGGGGTCCACCAAGGACGTGGCCACCTGGACCCACCAGACCTGGACCTTTAGGACCATCAAGGACGTGGCCGTTGGGGCCCATCAAGGACGTGGCCATTGGGGCCCACCAAAGACATGACCACCAGGTCCCACCAGCCCCGTGGCCACCAGGGTGTGTTGAGAAGAAGCCACCCGTGTCCCCAAGGTACCTTCTTGCCGTCGCGGGGCCCGAGGCCACCGTCGCGCAGTTGGTGGCTCTGAAGGTCCACCACGTCCTTGGCCTCGTAGGAGTCCCCCCGGCGCTTGCAGATGATGAGGGCCTTGTCCAGGAGGAACCCGTACCTGGGGACACCCGGGGGGTGGCCATGAGGTCCCAAAGGCCACCGCACGCCTTGGGGTGTCCCCTCCCCTGCCCCCTGCCCCCTGCTCGGTGTCCCCAAGGTGTCCCCAAGGGTGTCCCCAAGTTCTCGTGGTGTCCCCATGTCCTCATGGGCCTCTCTGTGGTGTCCCCATGGTGTCCCCATGGGTGTCCCCAAGTTCTTGTGGTGTCCCCATGTCCTCATGGGTCTCTCTGTGGTGTCCCCATGGTGTCCTTGTGGTGTCCCCAAGCTCTTGTGATGTCCGCATGTTCCCACGGTGTCCCCATGTCCAGATGGATCTCCTCATGGTGTCCCCATGGGTATCCCCAAGTTCTTGTGGTGTCCCTGTGTCCTCATGGATCTCTCTGTGGTGTCCCCATGGTGTCTTTGTGGTGTCCCCAAGCTCTTGTGATGTCCCCATGGGTGTCCCAAATTCTTGTGGTGTCCCCATGTCCAGATGGATCTCTCCATGGTGTCCCCATGGATGTCCCCAAGTTCTCGTGGTGTCCCCATGTCCTCATGGGTCTCTCTGTGGTGTCCCCATGGCGTCCTTGTGGTGTCCCCAAGTTCTTGTGATGTCCCCATGGGTGTCCCCATGGTCTTGTGGTGTCCCCTTGTCCCCACGGTGTCCCCATGTCCAGATGGATCTCCTCATGGTGTCCCCATGGGTATCCCCAAGTTCTTGTGGTGTCCCTGTGTCCTCATGGATCTCTCTGTGGTGTCCCCATGGTGTCTTTGTGGTGTCCCCAAGCTCTTGTGATGTCCCCATGGGTGTCCCAAATTCTTGTGGTGTCCCCATGTCCAGATGGATCTCTCCATGGTGTCCCCATGGATGTCCCCAAGTTCTCGTGGTGTCCCCATGTCCTCATGGGTCTCTCTGTGGTGTCCCCATGGCGTCCTTGTGGTGTCCCCAAGTTCTTGTGATGTCCCCATGGGTGTCCCCATGGTCTTGTGGTGTCCCCATGTCCCCAGGGGTCTCCCCATGGTGTCCCCATGGGTGTCCCCAAGCTCTTGTGATGTCCCCATGGGTGTCCCCAAGTTCTTGTGGTGTCCCCAAGCTCTTGTGATGTCCCCATGGGTGTCCCCATGGTCTGTGGTGTCCCCATGTCCCCGGGGGTCTCCCCATGGTGTCCCCATGGTGTCCTTGTGATGTCCCCATGGTGTCCCCATGGTCTTGGGGTGTCCCTGTGGTGTGCCTGTAGTGTCCCCATGGCATCCTTGTGGTGTCCCCAAGTTCTCGTGGTGTCCCCATGTCCTCAGGGGTCTCCCCATGGTGTCCCCATGAGTGTCCCCATGTTCTTGTGGTGTCCCCATGGTGTCCTTGTGGTGTCCCCAAGCTCTTGTGATGTCCCCATGGGTGTCCCCAAATTCTTGTGGTGTCCCCATGTCCAGATGGATCTCTCCATGGTGTCCCCATGGATGTCCCCAAGCTCTTGTGATGTCCCCATGGTGTCCCTGTGGTGTCCTGGTGGTGTCCCCAAGTTCTTGTGGTGTCCCCATGTCCTCATGGGTCTCCCTGTGGTGTCCCCATGGTGTCCCCATGTTCTTGTGGTGTCCCCGTGGTGTCCCCATGGGTGTCCCCAAGTTCTCATGGTGACCCATGTCCTCATGGGTCTCTCTGTGGTCTCTCCATGGAGTCCTTGTGGTGTCCCCAAGCTCTTGTGATGTCCCCATGGGTGTCCCCAAGTTCTTGGCGTGTCCCCATGTCCCTGTGTGTCTCCCCATGGTGTCCCCAAGTTCTTGTGGTGTCCCCATGGGTGTTCCTGTAGTGTCCCTATGGTGTCCTTGTAGTGTCCCCAAGTTCTTGTGGTGTCCCCTTGTCCCCACGGTGTCCCCATGTCCAGATGAGTCTCCCCATGGTGTCCCCATGGGTGTCCCATGTTCTTGTGGTGTCCCCATGGGTGTCCCTGTAGTGTCTCCTTGTCTCCCCATGGTGTCCCCATGGTGTCCTTGTGATGTCCCCATGGTGTCCCCATGGTCTTGGGGTGTCCCTGTGGTGTGCCTGTAGTGTCCCCATGGCATCCTTGTGGTGTCCCCAAGTTCTCGTGGTGTCCCCATGTCCTCAGGGGTCTCCCCATGGTGTCCCCATGAGTGTCCCCATGTTCTTGTGGTGTCCCCATGGTGTCCTTGTGGTGTCCCCAAGCTCTTGTGATGTCCCCATGGGTGTCCCCAAATTCTTGTGGTGTCCCCATGTCCAGATGGATCTCTCCATGGTGTCCCCATGGATGTCCCCAAGCTCTTGTGATGTCCCCATGGTGTCCCTGTGGTGTCCCCATGGTGTCCTTGTGGTGTCCCCAGGTTCTTGTGGTGTCCCCTTGTCCCCCTGGTGTCCCCATGTCCAGATGGATCTCCCCATGGTGTCCCCATGGATGTCCCCAAGCTCTTGTGATGTCCCCATGGTGTCCCTGTGGTGTCCTGGTGGTGTCCCCAGGTTCTTGTGGTGTCCCCATGTCCCCGTGGGTCTCCCCATGGTGTCCCCATGGGTGTCCCCAAGTTCTTGTGGTGTCCCCATGTCCCCAGGGGTCTCCCCATGGTGTCCCCATGGGTGTCCCCAAGCTCTTGTGATGTCCCCATGGGTGTCCCCAAGTCCTTGTGGTGTCCCCAAGCTCTTGTGATGTCCCCATGGGTGTCCCCAAGTTCTTGGCGTGTCCCCATGTCCCTGTGTGTCTCCCCATGGTGTCCCCAAGTTCTTGTGGTGTCCCCATGGGTGTTCCTGTAGTGTCCCTATGGTGTCCTTGTAGTGTCCCCAAGTTCTTGTGGTGTCCCCTTGTCCGGGTGTCCCCAAGTTCTTGTGGTGTCCCCATGTCCCTGTGGGTCTCCCCATGGTGTCCCCATGGATGTCCC